GCAGTCGCAGGGCAAGGTTCCTGTCCCACCTTCTCCACCCCTTTGCTCATACAGCTCAATTCCGTTCTATGGCTGGAGAGTGGCTTCGTCTCTATGGCTGATTAGTGCCAATTGTTATACTGATTTATGGGATGAGTCGCCTTATTCAGGGTTTCAGCAGGGGGTGAATTTCCCTCTGTGTTAAGCTTTGGAATCCCCCTGGATCAAAGCTGCCTGACTGTACAAACCTAAGTCATCATTATTATAAAGGTTGTCAGTTGCTCTGAAAAAATAAAAATGGGGGGTTATCACGGTCCATTCAGGGCAGATCCTGGATTGTATCAGACATCAGGCTGGAGCACTAAAAATACCAAAGTCAAAAGGGGACAGAGTTAGTGCCTTATAAACAAGAAACAGTCTGTGCTTATCTACCCTCCAGGAATTGAGATACTTCTAAGAATACTAATCCTACTTTGGCACTAATTCAAGATGCTATTAACACTAGGAGGCTGTCCCAGCGGCTCATCAGGCCAACCAACTCAAAACATGGGTTTAGCTCTTTGAATTTAATCTCATCGTCTATTAATGAAAAAAAAAAGATGAATTTCTATTACCCCTCTTCTGAAGAAAAATCAAAACAGGGATTATGGCACAAAGTGCCCAAAAAATCCCACTTCAAAGCCTCGGTTGCAAACTCATAAAGCAGAACCAGAGAGCCGAGAAATGGGGCAGAGCCATAAACTTTGGACCCGGATCAGTATTTTCCCAAAGTTGTGGAGGCGTTTAGAGACGAGGTGTTGGTTCAGACCCATTTACTTAGGTTTAGTCTACAATACAAAGTTGTGTCAACATAGCTCTGTTAGCTGGGAGTGCTAAAAAAATCATCTCCCCCCAGCTGACAGAACTATGCCAGATAACCCCTCCCATGTATACACAACTATATCGACAGAAGAGTGCTTTTGCTGGCACAGCTAATGTTGTTTGGGGAAGTAGTGTAGCTATGCCAGAATACGCTGCGTCTCCGCATAATTATGCTGGCATAGCTGTACTGGCAAAGGCTCTGTCGTGCAGACAAGCTCTTAGAATAAAATGATTGTCCTTATGGCCCCAATTCAACCAAGCACTTAAGCATGTGCCTAAGTTCGATTGACTTCAAGTTAATTTAGGCACAGGTTTAAATGCTCTCCTGAATTACAGCCTAAAACACCCTCTAATTCAAAAGGCAGCTAGGGGTGGCTCAATGGATGCAGAAAAAAATAAGAACCAATTTGAACCTTTACCCCAAAACCTGAACCTTTCTTGTGGTTCAAAGAAGTTCAGAGAACTCCCTTACCAACTAGCTCATATTTTTGTTCCACTCTGCACTTTTCCCACTCCCAGCTGGGACTAGAAACAACTGAGCCAAAAACCCATGAGAAAGGCTACTCCCTGGGATATTTCTGGCCTGATGAGAAATCGTGATAAAAAAATTAAATTCTGAATCCAAATCTTCTGAAGTCCCCTCATTCCTTGTGTGTGCCCTCCAAAGTTTTTTCTGACTTGACAAAATGCCATCATGGAATTTTTTTAAAAAAAAGAAAGTCTAAAAACTGCAAGAGCCGAGAGAAACTTCAAAGAATATTCCTGCAGGCAAACATCATCTGTTCTCTTGCCCGCTCATGTAAGGTATTGGAATCGGAACAATTTAGTGGGAGTTTGTTTTCCTGTCTGTAGCTGTGCCGACATTATGGGCAATTAATCTAAGTGGGATGCTCAGTGATAATGCCATATAATTCAAATGCATTTTTAAAAAGGAGCTGGAAAAGCAATTTCTGGAGGGAACCTGAGGATTTGCAAACAATTACACTGCCTCTCCAAAAAGAGAGGATTCAGTTAAAGAGTGATGAAAGGGATATAGAATTAGCATATCAGTGAAGGATCACTCAGAAGAGGGATGGTAGCAATGGGGAAACAATTTCAACTGGTTGGCTCATCTTTCAAATTGGATTTAGGTGACAAACAGCTGAATCCACTTGAAAATGGGCTTAGGGACCACTTGAACTTTCTACAGTGGGTGAACCCAATTTTGTCCCACATTGCAATGAACGCTCTTTGGTATTTCACCAGAAGCACAGACTGTTGTGCCACTAATCCTGAGCACAAAGAAATGGCAAGACCTTATACATCTGAGAGGAGCAATGAGCCTATCTAGAAAATCGGGATCTTCTTAGCCTTGAGTTTTTTTCCCCCCTGAAAGGAACATTTTGATTTGCCTTGAGATACCAGTGTGCTGGGGACTTTATAGCCAGGAATGGAGACAATCTTCCCTGCCCCAAAGAGTTTAAAACAGTCTTGGAAAATATCCATAGAATCAGAGATATCAGGCTGGAAAGGACCTTGAGAATTCACCAAGTCCAGCCCCCTGCACTGAGGCAGGGACAAGTAAACCTAGACCATCCCAGAGAGGTGTTTGTCCAGCCTGTTCTTAAAAACCTTCAGTGACGGGGATGCCCCTATCCCAGAGCCTAACTACTCTTTTAATCAGAAACTTTTCCCTACTACCTAATCTAAATCTCCCTTTCTGTAGATCAGCCCATTAATATTTCTCCTACCTTCATGGGCACGGAGAACAATTGATCACAGTCCTCTCTAGATCAGCCCTTAACATATTTGAAGACTTATCAGGTCCCTCCCAGTCTTTTCTCCAGACTAAACATGCCCTGTTTTTTTAACCTTTCCTCATAGGTCAGGTTTTCTAAACCTTCTATCATTTTTGTTGCTCTCCTCTGGGCTCTCTCCAATTTATTCCCCTCTTTTCTAAAGCATGGTGCACAGAAACAGATACAGTACTCCAGCTGTGGCTTCACCAGTGCTGAACAGAGCGGGACAATTACCTCCTATCTCTTACATACAACACTCCTGTTAATACACTCCCGAATGATATTAGCCTTTTTTGTAACTGTATCACACAGTTGGCTCATACTCAATTTGTGATCCACTCGTAACCTCCAGATCCTTTCCAGTGGTACTACAACCTAGCTAGTTATTCCACATGTTGTAGTTGTGCATTTGATTTTTCCTTCGCTAGTGCTGTTCTTCGCACTTGTCTTTACTGAATTTCATCTTGTTGATTTCAGACTAATTTTTTAATTTGTCAAGGTCATTTTGAATTCCAGTCTTGTCCTCTACAGTGCTTGCAAACCCTCCCAGCGTGGCGTCATCCACAAATTTTATAAGCATACTCTCCACTCCATTATTGAAGTCATCAATGAAAATACTGAATAGACTGGACCCAGGACTGACCCCTGCAGACCCCACTAGCTATGCCCTCCCATTTCAACAGCAAATCATTGATAACTATGCTCTGAGTACATCTTTCAATCAGTTCTGCACCCACCTTATAGTAATTTCTATAGTTCACATTCCCCTCCTTTGCTTATGAGAATGTCATGGGGGACTGCGTCCAAAACTTTACTAAAATCAAGATACGAACATTTACCAGCCTAGATACAAAATCTACACCCCTGTCCTTCACCAGGATTGATGATAATGCTAAAACTAATGATATTTTGCTCACCCATAAAAATATGACTTGCCCTAGGGAAGCAGGGGAGTAGATTTTTGCACGGTTTACAATCTATGTACTCTGCCCAGGAGATTCTAGGCCTTTGCTTTTCCCACTCTTTGGAACATCAGTTTCACTGGCCTCCCTGAGAGGCCTCAGCCCAGCTATCAGTCAGACAAGGAAGAACACCCCCCCCCCCCCCCCCCCCCGTTCAAACTCTGGGGGATTCACTGAATTGTGTTGCAACATTGCTTGATTGCCATGGATGGTCACTGGGTGGGTGGAGCCAGAGTCTTTACCACCCCAAAAGGGGGCAGGCAGAGGTGACAAGCCACATACGGCAGAAAACTGCTATGACTGTGAGTGACCCAGATCCTTGGAACGCCTTCATAGCTGCACGACTCAGCAGCTTCTGTGGTCTCTGCAGTGGGGGATGCAAGTGGCATCGACAGAGCCTTTGGTGTCTACATGTAGATTTGCTTCAGCTCTCCAGGGCAGGGACTGGATCTTCCTGTGTTAGTTCAGCCCCCAGCCTCATGGGGTACAATTCTGAGAGGGGCCTTTGGGTGCTACGATCATATAAATACATCACACAGCCACTTACCCAAAATCCCTAGTTATCTGGCTCCACCGTGTGTCCCCCACATAGCCCTAAAAATCACCACATACCTTCACAAGGACAGAATACAGCAGCGATAACCTTCCCCTTAAAGAAAACGTGTCTAATTCAAGCACCACCAGGGCAACGCCATATTCACTCCCAGTGGGATTTCATGGCTGTAGCACTGTGGCCAAGCAATTTGTTGTCTCCACAGCGGTGTCGCTGGTCAAAGCTCCTCACCCATCACAGAGCCCCAAAGCCAGGGACACGGTCCCTCTCAGTGACCAGCGGGGCAAGGATCTCACTGACACACACTGCCATCATCACTGAGGGGCCATGACCAGTCACAGGGTCTCAGAGCATAGGCTCCAGCCGGACCCTCGGCCTTCCTTTCCAGAGTTCAGTTCAATCTCTCTCCCCTGGAGCCAGGAGCCCCCAGTGCCCCTTCCCAGGACTGGGTTATAATGCAAACAATCCCGTTATTCCCTGCAGGAGCCAGTCTTGCTCCCTCCAGCTGCTTCCTCATGCCAGCTACAGCTCCCTCGGCTTCTGCCTTGCCTGGGCTTCCTAGCTAGAGTGTTACCAGCTGCTCGCTCTCCAGACCTCTCCTTTATAAGTCATATGATCTTCATTCGCCCCACCTGGGGAGCTGAGTTAAGCTGGTCACAGCTGGACTGAGGCCCACCTCCTCTTAAGGGGTCAGACACCTTGTGACAATGGGATAAACAAAGCACCCAGGAGGGATCAAATTTGCATGGACGTCAGTAGGAGCCACACCTGCTTAGCTCCCTGGTGCTGTGCCACTTTCCCCAGGCATGTTCTGAATCACATATACATTTGTGTTCATCACGCTGGGAAAAAAAGGATTTTACTTACTTGGGACCCTGTTAATGGCTCGTAGAGGCCTGAGTACCCGGACAGTACGGATGGCAGATAAGCTTACATTGTGCCCATCCAGAGAATATTCCATCATGCTAAGGAAGAAAGAGAGAAAGAAATCAGAACAGAGGTGTCTCATCTCCTAGGCCTTACAAGTGTGTGGGCAGGCTGAAAAGGGGCAGTTCCTAGCTTGTCAGGTGGGTCAGTTAGCCGGACAGTATGTGCCCTGGCTATCTCAGGATTAAGCGAGACAATGGGCGCCATCATGATCTGCAGGATTAGCAGAAGGCTATTGCAGCGTGGGATTGTTGCAGCACCAGAGGAAGCTGCCTAGCTAAGGCTGTGATTTACCTGCTGGAGGTAGTGCCTCCTGGATAGGGTGAGCAGATGTCCCAATTTTATAGGGACAGTCCCAATTTTGGGGTTTTTTCTTATATAGGCTCCTATTACCCCCCACCCCCGTCCCGATTTTTCACATTTGTTATTCATGTAGCTGAAGTTGCGTAACTTAGATCGATTCCCCCGCCCCTCCCCTCCCAGTGCAGACCAGGCCAAAGTGTCACTCCCTGGTGTCTATGAGTGATCTGGCATCCTCTAAGAGCACCCGCCATGGTGCATTACCCTGAGCTGCAGCTACTTACTGAAGTCATCCTGCTGAAGTCACTGGGGCTAACCACCATGACTACTGGGTGCAGGAGTAGGGTGGGGGGGATAAGCATGGGGAAATGGGGAATTATTTCCCCCCCCCTACAGTTCCTCATATCTCCTTGTCAATTGCTGGAAATGGGCCATTTTCATTACCACTACAAACAGTTCTTTTTCTCTCCTGCTGATAAAAGCTCACCTTAACTGATCACTCTCCTTACAGTGTGTATGGTAACACCCATTGTTTCATGTTCTCTGCGTATATATCTATCTTCCTACTGTATTTTCCACTACATGCATCCGATGAAGTGGGCTGTAGCCCACGAAAGCTTATGCTCAAATAGATTTGTTAGTCTCTAAGGTGCCACAAGTACTCCTGTTCTTTCCCCCCAAAATAGTTCCCTTTAGAAAAACATCTCGTCTTGATTTAAAACTCGTCAGTAACTGAGAGAGACTGTGGCCCTTGGTAAATTGTTCCAATGCTTAATCCCTTCGCTTGGGAGACTATTCCACAGCTCCACACAGCTCACAGTCAAGAAGATTTTCCTGATATTCCTTTCTCACTACTCCTGTGATACCTCCTTGTACTACCTCTGTGTATTTTCATGAAAAGCTTGGCTTTTTCTCCTACCACAAAAATTTACAGAAGAGAGCTGGGGAATAACATTCAGGTAGTTTGGGCTGCAGTATATTATTAAAAAGAAGGAACATTTTATTTTTCACATTCTGTTGCCATTTCACACGCGTGTTTCTCTCCTGGCCTGAGAAAGATGTTAAATTTAGTCAGTTTCATTGGTCTTTTATAACAAGGAGTGGTAAACATGTGTCAGGCTTTATTTTTTTTTTTCTTAAATAGGGTTCTGGCTTGTTAGCTTGGTTGTAATTACAATTTATAGCATTTGAACTGACTACAGGGAAGCACTTGTAAATATGTCACATCTCTCTCACTACTCTTGTTCAGATACCACAATGCATCAAGAGCAAGACTGTGAACCAGTTTTTGGTACCAGAAAGCCTTTTTTTTTATTATTATTTTTTTTAAAAGAATACACAAATTAAAAAGTGGAGTGGGAAGGAGGGAGGCCTGACAAAAGCAAATACCCAGAAATGTTTCCATCCAATATTTTAAAATTTCAGCAGAAATCATTTTTATTGTAAACATTCCACAGTCGTGTTAAGGACATAGGCACTGAGATTGCCCATGACACAACCAGGGAGTGAACGTGAAATCGAAACCGGCTAGAAACAATAGCTAAGCTTGCTTGTTTGAGAGTAGTCTTTACTCATGCAAGTGGTCCCACTGACGTCAGTGGATTACTCACGAGAATAAGGTTGGCTGCATCGGGGCTTTAGAAATCACATTTTAGCCTAGTTTTAACTGCACACTGATTTTGGTTTCCAGGTCGAGTGAAATGCAACAAACATGAAGCCAGATTCTCAGCGGATGTAAATCCGTGTCGTTCCATTGAGCTATGCTGATTTAGACTAGCCCAGGACCTGGACTGAGATTTAAAAAATTCGGTACTTTCAATACTCTAAAGGTACAATACGGTAACAGATATGGGATTTCTATTTTTAAAATATCCCCACATTATGATGACAGCACATCTTTCAGCAAATTAACCCTAGGATTCTAATTGCTATTTTTATGCTAGCACAAATGTGGGAGGACAAGGTCATGTTTTGCAACGACAGTCTGATAAGCTACAATATAGTGGAATCCTCTTCTTTGGAACATCCAGATGGAAAGAGAAGTGTGGCAACATTGTGGTGGTCCCGTTATCATGGAGTCACAGGAAGGCATTGTGCAGAGGGTTATTATGAAGCTGTGATCATGATTGCATAGGAGAACTGGATGACAGATTTCCACCCATTTCTTAGAGTGCTTGCTCAGATTTAACAATGCATTCACTTTTGCTTATGCCCCCATATGTTCACTTTCCACAATCATTTGAATAGCGGAGTTTAACTCACATAAACATTCTCATAAAGAACACGGACGTGTGTCCACGTACACTCAATATCTAAAACTTTCGTGCAAAGCGAACACAAAATTGGCTTGGTCTACACACTGAAAGTGTTGCTTATTCATTTGTTCTCCAAGCATACTGGCACCTTTGACAACGGAGAAGTCTGCAGTGCAACACTTTGCCTGATTTGCACCAGTAATTTTGAATATCTGAAAGTTCTGCCAAGGACTCAGCATACTTTATACATTCTGCCAGTGGGAGTAAATCTGTCTGTCTGTCTGACAGAGGTAAGTGTGGGTATACATCTGTTCCAAGTGATTGGTGATACAGCATAGGACAGAGTTAAGGCTATTTGGGAAGTTTAATTTGGAACTTCAAGAATTTCCGATATTTGATTTTTCCACACCTTTGGCTGGAGTTATTCCTGCTATACATCCGTTAACTTAACTAATATTACAGCAGGTATGAAATTGGCCCTTTAGCCTTAATTTAGCATTTTTTGGACTTTTTTGCTGTTGTTTTTAATAACTTTTTTTCCTGAAGCATTTAATAAATCTTTGCAACCCTAACTTCACCTTAAAGTCTGCCTCTAGGAATTAAATTTACATTAGAGGGATAGCTTTAAAATTTAGCACTGCACTAAAACAGTTCTGAAAACTAACCTGGATGCATTAAGCAGCCAGATCACAGAATATCAGGGATGTGGCGCTTAGCAGAAGCAAGGACCACACAGTGGGAAATTGATAACAAACATCAGTTTGCACCTGCTAGTTACAGTAACTAGGCCTGTAGCCAGCACCAGGTGTGCGCACTTCAAACAGACCTTTCAGGAATAGACAAACCTCTGTTTAAAGTCACTGAAATGAATACCACTGATTCCTGAATCTGTTCCCTGGCTGACGTCCTAATAAGGCACACTTGCAATTTATCAGGTGGCTGAGTAAGTGGATTCTACTTTAATTGGACACCAGTTTTAAAACTACTAATAGAATGTAAAAGCAGTTGGAAAGTGCTCCACTGAGAGTTCCTACGCTGTCTGGGTGGATACTAGTCCTTGGATCCCTACCTAGCTTTTATTCCGTTCGTCTCCTTTGACTACAGGAGGCTTGGCTTGATCTCTTGGTATGCAATAAAACCATCAAAAACCTTCACACACAACTCAAAACAAAAGCTCTCTTTAAGAGTGAAGTGCTTTAGATCACTTTTCTTTTTTTGCCATTGGTTCTCATTTTCACACCCTTCAGTTTTGACCCACCCAGTTACATGCCCCAAGTACAGGAATGGAGTAACTGAGAATCAGGCCATCTAAGTCTATGAACTTCAGTGTTAAATTTTCACTGCAAGGTAAAGTGAGAGACCTGACAGATACCTGATAGGATTTTTTCCCCACGTGCTTTCTAGCTTTCTTCAGTCTCTGAGCTCTACAGACGTTGCGTAGTCAATACAGACTAGGACTGGCAGACTCATTGCACTGCATCTAGGGAGGATTAAGTCAGGGATTTGTTTCCTAACGGTTTGCGGAAAAGAATTGGCTTAATTAACAAACCTTGTGAACTTAGCAACCCCTACCCCATAAATGCGTTTCACTGTTTGGGGTTTTCCTTCCTTTATGTGATAGAGGGTGGAACCCATAAACTCCCTCAGAGCATCTGTCTGGGAGAAAAGGCACCCTTGGAAGACATTGGACTCTGTCTAGGGTAAAAAAAAGCCATTGGCTGGAATAACCAGAATTCTGCTCCCAGCTCTAGGTAAGCAAGAAGAGAGAATCACATTTAAAATCATGCAATGTGGGGTGGGTATTGGCTGGGAAATCCATCGTCAGTTCGGCGGGGGATTATCTAATCTGCCCTTATTTTAACTAGCCCATGCTCCCCGCATAGCTTCCCCCTTCTTACCATTCTCCCTGCACTGCTGCACTCATCTTCAGTGATCTTGCCCCTTCGTCCCACCTCCTGCCACTCTCCCTTCCATGTTACACCCCCTCTCCCCCATGGCTGCTTTCACACGTCAGCCCTTCCCTTGCCCCCTCCTCTTGTATTTATTTCCCCAAGTCTTATTTCTCTTGTTGTCAGGACAATTGCTACACCCAACTCTTCCTCTAGTCTGGCTCTAGTCTCTCTCTGTGTAGCCTTTAATGATGCTTTAGATGGGATGCGTTGGAAATACAAACCATTATGCACAGATGCATAATAGAGGAGGATGGCACACACAGCCCGTGGGGTATAAAGCCACGGAAGACCATAGGCGTGCAAAGACCCTGAGCATCCAGGGAGAAACAGTCACGGCGTCACATGCATGTCACGTGTCCTGTCCTGCAGCATCATCATTCATTTGTACAGATTGGACTATTATCGTGGGCTCAATATGCCAGAGAACAGAAGTCACAGGTCTTTCCTATCTGCTCTCCCAAGAAAGGCAAGTGCTCTCTTGGTCTGGAGAGCAATTAGATTAATGGCATCTAAAGCATTTCTCACCACACAGGGGCCGCTCCAATGAGTAAATGACCCACTTGACATTAGCAGTCATGAGGGGTCAAATGGCAGATCACATTTTTGCTGCTTGGACAAGGCTCGTGGTCAGACTCAGGGTATGTCTGCATTGCAGTCGGGAGGTATGACTGCAGCACGGGTAGGTATGATCGAGCTTCCTCACTAAAAACAGGAGTGACGCTGCAGCGGTACAAGTGGAGATATGTGAGCCTAGCTGCTCAAGTAAACGCCTGCCTGAGATCCTGACTCTACATTTGGGCAGCTAGTCCACACTGCCATGGCTTCACCACTATTTGTAGGGAGCTTTTTTGTTCCAATCTAGGCTGGGAATGCCTACATCTGCCGCAGTCACGCCTCCCTGATTGCTGTATAGACGTGCCCTCAGAGGAAACGGAGCCAGCTTTCTCCAGGCTGAAACTTCCCATGGTACTTTTCTTAGTCAAGCAGAGACAGCGAGTATTCACCGCTGGAGCGGCCTCCAGATGCAATCTGTTGCTGTCAGCAGAAGATCTGTTTATTTTGTAGTCTTCCCGCTTACTGTCGGCTTTCCTCGATAACTGTGCTATTAGTGTAAATCAGCTCGCTTAAGGAAACTGAATAGGGCAAATGGAATGGCGGGCATTGCCCATTTGTCACTCACTTCCCTGCTTATCAGAAGGGCCCCTTAATAGGCTCCATTGCTTCCAGGTCCGCTTGCCAAGAAAAACAACCCACTTATTATGTCACACGCTGCCCGGTAAAACTGCTGCTTGTTGCCCAGGAAGATCAGCAATAAGTTTCCAAAGTACTTTGTAATTCAAGTCACCCTCCAAGGCTCTCCTTTCTTTAGATCCGAAGGTGAAAACCCAGGCCGGGTTGGGGAACAGGGCGGGGATTCAAGGGCTTGTTAGCCAAGCAGAGAATGACAAGGCAAATTAAGAGGAGAAATGGTTCATGTTTGGACCCCAAGTTCAAGTCTCTCCTGTGGGCAACAAAGTTAGAATTCCCACAGGTGTGCGCCAAAGGTACAATGGTCATAGGCCACATTGCACCTTCCAGCTGCTTGAGAGGCCCTTGGGACTGGCTTGCAAATGGATCGTTCTGCATGTCAGTCCTCAGCATTAACAGCCTCTCACTAGAAGGGTTTCTTGTGTTAATAGTGGTTTGATTTTCCCTTCTCTCCTCCACCAGCCTTTTATGTCTATAAAATGGGGCTGGAAAACTACCTCTAACAGACTTAAATTGTAAATAAATTAACTGGAGATATCCTATCTCCTAGAACTGGAAGGGACCTTGAAAGGTCATTGAGTCCAGCCCCCTGCTTTCACTAGTAGGACCAAGTACTGATCTTGCCCCAGATCCCTAAGTGGCCCCCTCAAGGATTGAACTCACAACCATGGGTTTAGCAGGCCAATGCACAAACCAGTGAGCTTTCCCTCCCCCCTTAGTGTGCCTCCTTTTCCAGCTTACTGAGATACAAATACCGTAGCCAAGGAAAGTCTGATTGTTAAGCAGCAGTAGAGGACTCTCCCTTCGTGCGTGTGTGGCATTTTAATATGCATTGCTCTGATGTTCATCGTGATAACATCTGAGAACCTCCCAAATGTTAATGGAATGCAGAAGCTCCACTGCTCCCAGGATAAGAGGAGTGGGTGTTATCATTTGTATTCTAACAGTGATTTACCTGAAGTCACACAGAGAGACAGTGGCAGCACAGCTGGGTATAGATTCCAGATCTAATGGCTCCTGGATTGATGGTCTTACACAGAACTATGCTTGTGCACCTGGTTCCTGACTATAGCCTAAAAAAATACATGGTGGGGCTAAAACGAAGTTAACTGGATTTTTCTTAAACTGTAGCCAAAGGCTGGTTCAAAGGAGGCTCAGCTCAGACCGTTTTATGTTTTATTCATACCAGTAAGTCCATTCCTAATTGTATTCCCGGACAAAAAACTACATTAAGATGGAGTTAAGGTTGAGCATCACTACTTTAAGGGTAAAACACATTGCAGGGATGTTGTAATTACTCCCAAACCAAGTACTATAAACCCAGGATATTCAAAGGATCTTGCATATTGCGGGGGAGGGATAGCTCAGTGGTTTGAATATTGGTCTGCTAAATCCAGGGTTGTGAGTTCAATCCTTAAGGGGGCCACTTAGGAATCTGGGGCAAAATCAGTACTTGGTCCTGCTAGTGAAGGCAGGGGGCTGGACTCAATGACCTTTCAGCGTCCCTTCCAGCTCTGTGAAATAGACATATATATATTTTTAAAGGTAAGATTACACGCAATATCCAAACATTTTCCATTCCTAATTGTACACCAAGCAGGTAAAATTGCTTTGAGTAGGTCTTGTCCAGTCTTAGGACCTATTTAGTTTATTTGTAGGACATTTTTTAAACCTGCTCAATATTTCTCCACAGGTCACTGGGAACCTGAAGTTTAAAGGAATCAGCTCTTCCAAGGGTGTTTGGGAGTGTAAAATAACCAGCTCCATAAACTTGTCTCAGGAGAATAAGCAGCTGTTGGTCGAGGTGTGTTCAAATGTCAACAAACATAAATCTAAAGCAGAAATTACCATGTGTTTATAATTTATGAGGATTAGAAAGTGTGCCAGACAGCCAGCTCCCTGCCCTTCCCCCCACGGCTAGCCCCGCTGAGGCTTTAACCTTCCTGAGCCAGATTCTTCCTGCTCAGTTGAAATCTGCTGTCTCCGTTCGCCCGAACAGCACCCACTGAGGCCAGTGGGTTACAGCAGCATGGTCGCTTTCCAGGTAGGGACAGTGTCAAGTTGAAAATCTCATACGTTAATTTAAATCCTGTATCTATGTTGCTAACATCTTAGATTATTAGCATGGACAGAACTCTTAAGGAACAGATTTGTTTCCCCCTGGTTTTGCTCTTTACTTGTGCATGTCTCTGAGCTTGGGCAAGGAGAAAGCCAGTTGGTTTCACCTTTGCTTGCGGTGGTTTTCTAATCCGTGTCCCTTTCAGGTGCTCAAGCACCAGCACAGGTTGCAATGTTCCAGCAACGCGTGCTGCAAGAGACACAGAAGGGACCCGGTCATCTGTCCTTGAGCCTTAACTGCGAGCTTTGGGAACATGCTGGTTATTACAGTGCCCAGATCTGAATGGATTTGATTTGACTGAAATGAAGCCGGCAAAGATTACTATAGAAGGCGCTTGACAGCTCTTATTTTGGTACACAGGTTCACATCAATGGTTGCCAGGGGCTTAGGCACATGCCTTTGGTACTGAAGCACCCGGGTTGCCAGCATTCCAGTTGGCACTTTCCCTGCAACCCTCCACTGCTGCTCAGACCTCCCCTGTGCCTGCTGGTGAAGAAGCTTCGACATCCACAGACAGATACATGACGTAGAGTTTGTGGCAGGACAAAATCAAGTGGTTTAAATGATCGTTTAGCCCCCATCCCTTCGTACCCCAAACTTTCAAGGGCTAGAGAACGTCATGGTATGTCTACACAGGAAAGAAAAACCCATGGCTGACCTGTGCCAGCTGATTTGGGCTCGGGCTGCTGGGCTGTTTCATTTCTATGTAGACTTCTGGGCTCGGGCTGGAACTCGGCCTCTAGGACCCTGTGAGGTGCGAGGGTCCCAGAGCTCAGGCTCCAATCTGAGCCAGGAAGTCTACACAGCAATGGAAGAGTCCTGCAGCCCCAGCTCCATGAGCCCGCATTGGCTGGCACAGGCCAGCCGCAGTTGTCTAGTTGCTGTGTGGACACACCCATAGAACGCAGCCGGCTCAGGTGGATGTCCTGCTGCAGAACGCCTTCTCGAACCCCTTCCCTTCCTCCCAACCCTCAGGTTCAGGCTGGGCTGATGAACAGCAGTTTCCCATTTCATATTTTGCAGATGCTTTTGCAAAATCAATTACAGCTGAACTCAACAGCGTTTTATTGCCTCCGAGATCAGGTTTTACATGACTTTTCTTTGGCTCGCACTTGGCAGCTTCCTGAAGAAATACCCAAAAGCCGCCTGGGCGACTGGTGGATTTGTTTATGCCTCCAGTGCACATGATTCATTTATGAGCTTTGGCTACTCACCCGGCCATTACGATGAAGAAGTCCAGGCGATTCCATGTGTCTCCTAGGTAACACTTCTGCCCGAAGATCCCCAGAGCTACCATCTTAAGGACCATCTCCACAGCGAAGAAGGCGAAAATGAAATGGTCAAATGCCTAGGTCATAAAAAGAGGATTGCAGTGAGTTCTACTGTGGTTCTGTATAGCAGGGATAAAAAAAAACAGGCATATGTATATTTCTACTGTATGGATATTGTGTATCTACAACTGAGGTGATCAAACCATGGCTCATGGAGTACTGAAGTGTCAGCTATAAAACCCAAAACACATCCTGGATTGCCTGCTGGGTGATAACACTGACTGAAATGCAACGGTTGGGTTTTTATTGCTGAGGAACAATAAGCTATTTCTATTCATCTAGTGACAAAGATACAAGCACACAAACGTGTTATGCTTGTTGCGCATTTACTTTTGCATTTAAAGCATATGCAAATCGATATGCAAATGCCGCGTGGCCCTCAGGGTCCTGGCAAGTTGACATTGAGAAACTCTGAGATACACGTGCTGTGCATTTGGGGTGCCCCGGCTTTGTATCATGCACAGGCTGAAGGAAATATCGATCAGGCAGACCACATGTGCTGCAGGTAAGGAACTGAAATATTATGGAATGGACTCAATGCTAAATACACGTTGCCCCATAAATTATGATTCTGCAGTGGGATGTATGGATCATTATTAGTCACACGGAAAAAGCTTTTCTGTTTTGAAAAAA